ACATATTTTGCAAATTTTCCTGAATTTTCTGATACAGCAAAACGGAGGTTGCTAGAAAGTTTAACCTTGGCAATGAAGTACCTAATAAATAGCTGAATAAAGAAACAATTATACTTTCATATCATCTATAGACGACCGTGAGTAGCTGAGTGACATACGTCGCTATTCACATACTGAGTTCAGAAAAAAAATTCAATTTTAGTGATACACGCCATTGGGGCACACTTTTTCGGGGAACATATTTTTAAATAGTTCCCTTTGCTTCAATCATATGGAGATCCAAGGAAGCTGTAACATGGCAAGAACGTGGCTGGTGAAGCACTCAGCGCAAATGTCAAATGTCAAATTTGCAAAATCTTTTTGGGAGGCATATTTATTGGGGACGAAACATTTGCAATGGAATTTTAATATCCAAGCAAATGGGACAGAAATAGGAAAGTAGCACGTATAGGAAACACGTATAACGGACGCGATGTTGCTTTCAGGAAAAATTCAACTTTTTGTGTTTCCTGAGAGCACAGCTTTTGGGTGGTTTGCTTTTCCAAATATTTTTTTTTTTACCGCCAGCAAAATGGGGAAACGTATAAGGCTGAGACTAGGCGGCATGGAGTTCCCTGAGTCTATATTTCAGAACAAAAAAAAATTTTCGTTGAAACCCATCAGGGCACTTTTTTAAAGTCCCATTTTCGTGAATTATCTTTCGATCCAACGAAACAGAAACAGAAAATTTAAAATTCCCTCAGAAGTACCTGTTTCATGGCTGAGTACAGGAAAAATCCTACTGTTGAAATTTGCACCCTTAGTGTAGATTATTGGAGGGAAGTACATACAGTATTTAAAAATGTATTCTCCACCCTCATAAAAGGGGCACAGGAAGAGCTTTCAAGTTAAGCACACTAGAAATGATTGAAATAATGATTTTGATAAAAAAAATCAAGACTTTCGTCCCCATTTGTCTCGTATTTCAATGGAGCGTACTTTAAATAGGTGTTTGCCATTTCCCGAAGAATAAATTAATTAATCACTATCCAAGGTGATTCGGGCAAACAAACTCGCTAGTATTAGCTATTTCCACGTATTACATCTCCGTGGTTTTTGCTAATTGACTGTTTTCTTAGGGAGCCGTGCCTTAGCATTTTATATAGCATGCATGGCGGAATTTCCAGGGTGTTCACTTTTCCTAACAGAATACAAATTTGGGGGGGGGGGAATTCCGAGTAAAGTATAAAAATAGATTGTCTAAATGTGTATGAATGAGAGAAACACTTCATGACAGAAACCACGTTTCCATCGAACCTGTTATCCGAGTAACGAGATATTTCATCAACATTTTGGAAATGTTGATGAACAATGTTGCTTCTAAGTGTAGATCTCCAAAACGTCAACGTTGCTTAAATGTTGCGAAGAACATCGCATTTACGTTGCAAATCGTTACTTATTCATTACATATTCGTTGCAGAAACGTTTCAGGATTTATGTTGCTGCAATGTTGATTAAAAACGTTGCTTCACATAATCTGGGCCTATGTTGGCATTAAGGAAAAGGATGGGCCTTACTGGCCCTGAACAGGACCGATATTCGACCAACATTCAATTACTTCTTTCATCAAATCATACAATATACTTAACCTCTCAACCCAGATATTCCCATCAACCGGACGAAACTAGTGCTGGTATAAGCCCTACCTATGCATGATACAGTATCTGTATCATGTATAGGCAGGAGACATAGTAAATTCTTGGAGGTGATCTCCCCCTAGATGTGCCAAACATGGCACATTACAAGAAATAGTCCGACTGCAATGTTCTACGGAGTGTCCACAAAATCAGTCCTTCTTTTCCGCTTCTAATTCTTAGGATGAGGTTAAGAAGGCTTAACATAACAGACTCTCTACCATCGCTTTTATTGACCTGTAGAATGTAATCGGCAACTTCTTGGAAGTGTTCTTTTGCGGAATAATATCATTTTTTATCTTTGCCCCATGAATATTGTCTCGAATATGAGGATAACAAGTGATAAAGTGTCTGTGTTCACTGATTCCTATAATGAGACAATGAGATATATGGCAAGGTACGAAACATTCCAGCGCGGGACGATTCCAGGAAGACGGAAAAGGGCACTTCTGTGTACTGTGAGAAAAGCGAGACCTACGCCTCCATCTCGTGGCAAGGACGACAACTTTACAATTCCCTAAAACTTCTCAGTCCATTTTGTTTCAGAATGTTGTGGCTACGTTGTCGATGTCAAGAGTGTAAACATTCTCTTAATCTCGATAGCAAATGTTGCAATAACATTCGTAGAAGTGTCTCAGCAACATTCCAAGTGAAGACATTGAAGCAATGTTTTATCAATGTTGTATTTGGGTCGATCGGAAAGTTCTGGCCGTTTCGAGAACATTTCATACGACCGAGTTTTTTGAAAAAGGAAAAAATTTCATTCAACAAAGTAATCGCCATCACAGTTAATCAACTTCTGCCAACGATCAGGCAGACTCCTGATTCCATCCCTGCAGAACTGAGCTGGCTGTAAGTGGAAAAAATCAGTCAGCCAGTTTTCGACCTCGGCGTCATAGTTGAACCTTTTCTGGCGTAGATGGTTGTGCAGAGCGCAGAAGAGATGGTAGTAGGTTGGCATCAGATCTGAGCTGTACGGAGGGTGAGGCAGACCCTCCCAGCCCAGATCCAGCAGGTTCAGCCAAGTGCGGCCTTCCTTTGTCGTGCAGGAATCGAACATGACGATGCCCTGGCCTCACCATGCAGAGTTTGTCGGCAAGTTTCTGCGGCCGATCGCATTAGTAGGCGGCGGTAATGCTTGTATCGGGTGGGAGCAGCTCGAATTCCATCAAGCCTTGCACATCCCACCAAATGCACAACATGACTTTTCGGGGGTGCAGGTCACCTTTCGGCTCCGGCTCTGGCTGCGCATCGGGATCGACCCACTGGCTTCTGCGTCGGAAGTTGACGTACGGCATCCACTTTTCGTCTCCAGTGACAACGGAATCAAGCCAGTCGTTTGTGCGCTTGTACGACAGCAGCGAAGTGCACACCTCAACACGGCGTTCGCGGTCGCGGTCTTTCAGATCGTGCATGCTCTGACAACCCACAACCCTAGAGAGATAAAGTACACCGAATATTAAAATGTTCAAATGAGGCAGTGGTCATTTTCGCCTTGGCAATTAAGTTTTGCGCAGCAGTCGAATATTGTTGAACGTTGCATGAAAAATGGACAACCGGGAGGTCCATCCCACTTCATATATCAATAGGCTTCGCTAGCGCTTATCACCTTTCTTCGATCCCTTCAGGAAAAAAATTCAACCGTCTCGTTTTCTTCCCCGAGAGCATCAACAGAACGAAATTCTGCGTTCTTATTCCTCTCTCGACACAGAATCGCTGCAGCAATTTTGAAGCTCCATCTCCCAGGGTTTGCGGAGAACACCGAATCTCGTTTTCGAAAGATGTGAACTTAGTTCCGTTCCCCCCCCCCCCCCCCGTCCCCTTGGTAGCCACTCCTGAGAGGTTTGGGAGTGAAGAGACCAACCTTGAGAAAGATATTGATTCGTAGTAGACGAAAGGTGGCCTCTTGGTCGCGCACCCGCACTAACTCTTAGCTCTCATCTCTTAGTTTCGCACGCGGATACCTGATAAGGCCCTTCTGGCCAGCTGGATCCGCAAACGCCTCTTGATCTTCGTGGCATCTGTCTTTAACCCTTCCGATAGGATGTAAATATAATATCGACTTAAATAAAACCACACCTCACTGATTCATGAAGTAAGACGGCAAACATCATATTGATTTCACTCTTCGGCTCAGATTGACCTAAACACTAAGCGCCCCAAAACAATGATACTAACCTAAATATATTCAGGTTGCTTTCTCAATAAGGCCGCATGGTTCCTTACTCTTAAATTCCTAATTAAACTCCTAAAGATAACAAACCTCGAGGGAGAGTTCCCGGGGCAAGCAGCTCTCTCTCGGGCAGACTTCTCCTCCATAGCCATGAGTCACTTTCTCAGGGCTAAGTCATTAGCTTCATGAGAGTCTTGCTTTCTGCCATCTCTCATGTCGGGAGGATCTATTGGAAACATGGTGAGCGAGAGTCATGTGTCGGTCCACCACATGACAACGGGGCCAACCATACCTTTAGCTCCTAACTTTATATTTAAAAAAGTATTTCCGGATTCCAAAGGGGTCTTAATAAAGTGATGGTGTACCCAGAGTCTGTCTGCCGTTCTTTAGACTGGGGGGAGAATGAATCTCATTTCTCCAAGGAAGGAAGTGAGCTCGTGATGTGCCATCGTGCCCATCCATGATATAGATGTGCTTATGGCAGAGTAGAGAGTATAGCGAGAGGCTTCACTCCCTTTGAATCCCATTCATTGACAGTTCTGAATATAGATGTCGCTGCCGATCCTCCACCCAGTGTGCGCACATCAACAACTCCTCCATTGCCGAGCAGCCGACTCAACGAGCGTGTGTTACGTTGAAGGATCCCTTTGGGTCGATTCCCGATTCCGCTGCCAAGATGGTAAAGAACTGATGCTGTGGTGAAATGAGGAAAGAATACTTCAGGCATTTACCATTGATGGTTTATTTCCTCGTTCAGTCATGGTTATCATTTATCTACAATCGCTAATAGCGTAAACCAAAACCAACAGAGATTTCATGTCTAAGCAATAGGACGGAATCAAGCGACCGAGAAACGAGATTGAAGCATGTTGTGAAAGAGAGAGGATCACACAGGCACACGAACGTGGGCCAAAATCCGTTGGTCCATCAGAAACGATCGGAGAAGACGAGATCAAATCCAGCTCTCCGATTTTCATGCGGGTGTGGACTATTATATACCGCAGGATCTGCCCAAAGAGCCTCTGCTTTTGAAGTAAAGTTCTTTCTTGACGTCTTTTCGAGATTCGGATCTTCCCCTGCTGGGCCAATCGGAGATGAATAAGCCTCTTTTTTCGGAGATGTTGGGAATTTGATCCGTTGCGGCACCCATATTAAATGCATATGAACTCACACATGAGAATGGCTCTTCGCTTTGGTCCCAACTTGTCATGCCGGGGCTTCCTCCACCCGTACAAGAGGATGTCCAAGATCCACTCGAGCATTTCCAGAACCGAGACGAAAGACATCCCGGTGTAGAGACCCAACAACCCTCCGAATGTTCCGATGAAGCTCGACCACTATCGAAGAAAGTAGCGAAGCGGACTTCGTTTTTAGAGGCTATTTCTGGACACGGTGAGAATTCCATGCAACCATTAAAAGCATTCGACTCACGGGGTATAGGGAAATCTCCTTTGTGTTCTCCACTGACATGGTATCGTAGAAGACCTGCACCACTGCCATCTGCTTGCTGAGAAAATAAGTTACTAAGATAAGAAGGTCCCAATTTCATTCCCGCTTTTTAGAGGATTTGCTTGCGCTGACTGGTCCTTGCAGAACAGAGACTGGGGGAAGACCATTTCAAAGTATGCATAGTAATATCATACTGCAATTTCTTACTTCTATGTTTCTTGATACTTTTGTTATGCTGCTACCCAAGCGATGCATCGAGAAACTATTTTTTTCACATCTGAAAGTTAAGATTTCAGATGTGACAGATGATAAGAAAATCCTTTGATTCTTTGAGTCCTTCAGATGTTAAGAAAATCCTTTGGTGGAGGCTGCACGAATGCATTTCCTCCAAACACGGTTTTTCCTTGCAGATGGTATTCTCTCTCATGAACTGAATCACGAAAAACTTTGAAAATGATGCATGATTATTTGGAAATACATACTTGGTTTGCTAGCAACTTTAAATATGCTGACATTTCAAGTATAGCCCTATCCCTTCAAAAACGTTACAGGAAAAATCCTATGCTCTGAGGTCCCAATTACTCAAAGCAGTTGAGTCATGCTGTCGTGAAACATGCACAATTACATTAATTAGTAATTTTTTTGCAAGTTCTGCAACAGAAAATATGAAAAAAACCTATATGAATTATTGAAATGAAATTCCTTGGTTGGGTTACTCTTAGCCCCCATTTCATATTTTCCGAAAAATATGCAATGACTGCGCAAACTTGGAATGACGACAGTAGGTCCTGTTTCTGAGTTCGCTTTCGCTCCTGTTCTTCATTTCGTTCTTCATCCAAGCAGTGAGGTCGATGAGCAAGGCGTCGTGACGACCCATCTGCGACGACGACAACGACCGCTCCAAGGTCCTGTCTCTAAACCGCCAACGAACACATTTTCCTCTTCGTATCTTAAAAATATGGAGGACGTTGATGCTGGTGAAGGCTTACATGCAGCGTATTTGAGGACACCCACAGGAACTATGTGCATGATCCTCCTTCCACTTGGCGTCCGATGAGACTTCGGCGTAACCTGTGGTTTCAGGAAATTGTATTGAAACTTTACTCAAGTGGATGAAGCGGATCTTGTTAAAATCAAAATACATGAAAATTAACGCCATTTTGTGGTGCTATAATCCTTGAAACCAAGAACAGAAACAGGTATAAGGACAAACGGCACAATGAAGAAGAACCGGAAAACCCTCACTCTCATTATCGCATTCCATTGGCGAGTCCTCGATGTTCAGCAGAAAACTGCTGTAATATCGATCGGTATCATTCAGGCAGCTCATTGAGTCTTTGTGGTCATGCAGCAATTGAGCGGCAACGCAGAAATTCTCACAAATCTAATCGAGAGACAGACCAGGAAAAACGTATTTTCATGAATGAGGAATGAATTGTGAGGAAAATTCTCTACCTTCTGGGTATATACTTTCTCACTCGCGACTGCGAAAATCTTGGGGTCGAATCGATCCAGGAGGTAAGAATCGAGCGCACAATCCCCCCCATCGGCTGGGTGGAGTCGCTCGAACTCCATCATCTTGAGGCCGACATAGGAGACCATTCCCAAGTTTGCATCGAATCCTTCATCGACGGTATAGGTGTCGTCCTGGGGTTTCCGAATGAAGACCCTGTACCCTTTGGCAGGTGAAAGGCGATCCAGTTGTTTCGAGAAAAACGGTGCCATTACGAGCCGAAGCCCTTGCTGCCCAATTTAAGAAGGAAAAATATTGAGTAAATTTAATTTATCTAGGTTCGATCGATGCAAAGAACTCACCCAGGGGTTCTTGTTCATTCCGAATCCGGGATCTGAGGAGTTATGACGGTGAACTTTTTTGTCTCTGCGGTAGTTGAAGGTAATGCAATCCCCAAGCACTTCATTTACCTCGAATTCATACCTATAAGTTCCAGAAAATGCAACAGTCGCACAAGACTTCACCTATAAGATGATGATTGGATATTCATTACTGGGGAAATCCACTCCTTCGCCGATCGATCAAAGTGGTTGCTTTTTCCCCTCCAGTTGCTTTAATGACTCGGATAGAATGCCTTTTTTGGTGGATAAACTGAAATAAATGCGTGATTGGTGTGCTTTGACAGATTGTCATATCCATAGTGCTGGACAACTCGGCAAACAAGGGAAATTTCATCTGGAGAAAATGTTACGGCAGAGGTTCTCCTTCGAAATGCATGAGCATTTGTGATTACTCGTAATAGGACTTCGTTAGGAAAAGAAAATCCTTACATATCATCGCAAGGCTCCTCGTTGAAGCTGCAATGGAGTACGTTTTTCATAATATCGGTACGATCCAAGTCCGTGAGATCGGAGTAGCCATCCAAGAGGTATCCGTTCGGGCCGAGCCACCACTCGAATGCATTCAGGAGATCCC